AGCATACTTGTTTGTACTCAATATTAAATCAAAATGTGAAAAACAAAAACAAAACATGGATGTAAACATACCTGTCCTGAAATTCGATGTTTCGTTGGAAGTAGGTGGAGGTGTCGATGGTGGAGGTGTAGTTGTTGGACTGGGTGTTTCGGTTTCAGTTTGTAGATACTCGTTACTAGTGAATTTTTGTGTTGTTTGCTCATTCTCATTTAATTCAGTTGAACTAGTAAATTGCACTGTTGTGATTCCTTCTTGAGTTGTGGAGAGACCGGAAGTCTCCATTAATGTAGGCGAAGTGGTGTCTATTGTTGTTTCTGCTGTTGAAGGACCGTTTGATGAATCTACATTAGGAGATAAAGTTGACGTAGAAGTCGGTTTAAGCGTTTTCTCCTGGTCACTAGACGATTCCGGTGCTGGTTCTGTTGTTATAGACAATTCTGGTGCTTCTTCTGTAGATAGAGAATCTTCTACCTCGGTAGACGTCTTTAAAATGTCTGGTTGAGGAGAAGTCAGAGAAGACACGTCAATCGTGCTTTCCGTGTCAGTTGGATGCCAAGTTGTAGTATCAGACGACGGATGTTCTCCGCTTGTTATGTAAGGCGTTTGGGGCAAGTTTTCTGTAACAGTATTGAAGTAAGTTGTGTTTGTAAGATGTTCTGTTACTGAACTAGTAGTAGCAATTTCTTCTGTCGATGTACCAACATTTTCCTCGCCATTTGGAATGCTCTGTTCGATCTCATTAGTAATAATAGAAAACATACCCTTTACACCTGTGACTCCTGGCGGTAGTTTACAACAGCTCATATAGATAAACCCTTCCATACAAAAAGTAAGGTGGCTGCCATTGGCGAGGCTGCAATACTGAGTAAACATGCATACTCCTTTCTCGTGAGTTACACTGTGTTCACAAGGACGATAGTCCATAAATCGACCACTTACTACAAAAAATAAAAACATCAAACTACACTGAACTTGATAAAAATAGTAATGAAATATTCATACATTTTATGTTATTATATAGTTACTTAAGTGTTTGCTATACCAATATTAATAGTGTTTTATATTAGGATTATAAGCTGTACATACAAAAAATGAATTAAGGTAACAACATTGTAACGAGAAACAACTATAGGTATGACCATCATACTAAGAAAACACGTATAATAAGGAATAAATATATCCCAAAATCAGAAACCCGATAATCCGACCTTCCGAAATTACTCACGTTAATTTTCTTGTTTTGCGATTTGTAAGTTAAGAAAAGGTTGCTTGAACGTTCAACAAATCCATCTTTAAGTCAATTAATGTAAATCAGATGAAATTCGATCAAATGTATAAAATTTGAAAACGTGATCTAAGAAAATTATTGACATCCGACTAAGCCCAATTCAAAACATTTATTATCATGATCAATATTTTCATTTTGTTCCTAAGATACATGAAGGCATACTCATTTTAGGATGCGATTGTTTTCTCTGTAGATGACAAAAATTTCGAAAGTTATCACGTATTCTTACTCAGTCAAGTGGGAGTGTCATTAAAAATTATAAAGTTCTGATATGCATATTTTGATGATATATACAGAGGTTGAGTACATTATGTATTTTGGAGTCTCACAACTTCGTTACACTCAATGTCGCTAGGTCCAGTCATAATCTATCTAGCGACCGTACATTTTGACAACACCTCTGCAGCGTAGTATTTTGCAACAGCTCCGTTGTAAGGATACCATGTATACGAAGATGACAGTTTTCCACCGTTTCAACAGTCCGATCGCACAAAAATCCACGGATGTCTTCATATAGAACAGCATGAATACCCGTTTCGTTATCAAGCTGCTTCAGCTATACGACGGTTCACTGTTTATCTGTTTTGTAATAGAGCAAAGCCACTTCGGGCTACCTGCTGTTTCCACTGCGGGGAACTGAACCCTGGAATTAAGCGTTGTAAGTCCGTAAACTTACCGCTATCCTACCGGAGGATATGACGGTTGAATGGAAATGTCTTAAAAGCAGCTTATGTACACGTGACTTGCGTCACCACCTTTTTAGATGATCTTTCTTTTTTGTTATGTTGCATACTATTACCTGGACTGTGTGAAAGTTAAAAGGATCAAAAGGAGCCATTGGAGACTAGGAAGGAAGTTATCAAGTTGGTTGGGAGCACTACGTTTCAGAAACAAGTTGTATACTGAGCTCATTATCAACTTTTCTTCACCTAACTACAGATGCTCTTTAGAATTTCATACACATTAACTCATTATTTAAACACCGTACAAGATTAAGACCCGCATTTGTTTGAGTAAGTCTTATTGAGTTTTAGTCGGGTAGAACATCTTAGAGTTAGGTCTAAATTGTTTTGAAATTATATTCTTTTGAAAAATGTAATACGATCACGTCCAGTAAGATATAGTACACATTTTGAAAATTTAAGCAAAGTATCTGAAAAGCATCCAGTATTAGCATCACTAATTGGTGTCCAGAAAATGAACTTGTTCATCGTTATTTTTTTATCCCTAGGTTCAACGTGTAAATGGCAAATCTACGAGATGTTACAATTTAACAACAGACAATAATAATCATGTAAATACAGATTCCTACAAACAATAGCCGGCTGACAAGTTTCAGTAGAGGTTGTAATTCTTGAACCGGGTGTTTCGGTTTGTGTTTTTAGATACTCGTTACTAGTGGGCTTTTGTATTGTTTGCTCATTTTCAGGTATTCCAATTGAACTATTGGTATTGAGTTGTATTGTAGTGGTTCTTTCTTGAGTTGTAAAGTGAATGTCAGTCTCATCTGATAAATTAATTCTTTCTTCTCGTGCAACTTCCTTCAGACAATATCTGGCTTACGAGTTTCAGGCCCACCTTCCCATGCCTCAGCGGTATGATTAGAGCTTAACATGCTAAAATATGGGGTTTGATCCCTGCGATGGCAACAGTAGTTAGCTCATTGTGCATCTTAATGAACAAACAAAGAAACTCTATGAAGAGAGACCCTGAAAATGGATGTGATCTTTCTATTAGAAATGCAGCATGTCTAGTGATTCGAATTTACGACTACGTCAATCTGTTAACCTAAAATCAGTAAAATTGCAAGGCCGAAATATTAATGGCTAAATAAGTCAGATTTTGTTTTAAAAAAATCGTTTTGAAGTATTACAAAATAAAAGTTCCTTATTCATGTATGATTCGACAAAAAAAAAACAACTCCGCTTTATCTCGTTCTACTTGATATTTCAACAATTTCCATATACAGCTGAGTGTAAGAGTTCTAGGATATGGCCTAAATTCATTGTTAGCCCTGTGGCTGTACGGCTTTTACCTGACAAATCGACTGGAGGTCACAGTTACGAATCCCGTTCGACCTTGTTTTACAACGAAACTACAGGCACCAAAGCAGGAGCGACAAGTTGTGGCATGCGGAAAACAACAAGTCGATTTAACGGCCAAGGTCTCGGTCGTTCACCTGATTGTGTGCTCTACCTCTATACACCACAGTGGTTCAGCAAAAATTTACAATAACTGAATAAGGTGTAGCAGGAAGTAATTTGTTCTTATTGAATATTCCTGTTACACGTTTTCACGATGGCTCATTAGAAGAACTTGTAGCACCATTAACTTTATTAAGAAGCGCTAATAAGTAACTTGTGTTATTGCCCAATAAATTGAAATATCTACATGTTCAAATCATGTATTTTTTCACGTTTTCACACTAAGCACATTTGCTATTTGTCTTAATTTGACGTACTTTTCTTTATTATAAAACCTTCTCGTCCTGAATTCTGTAACATGCTAGTGGATTTGTTATACGATGAAAGTAATGCTAAGGAGCATTCGTAGTGATAGCTGTAACTACAGGTTAACACGCGAAGCGTCTAGGTGTTGTAATTGTTTGTTATAATATTTATGTATAATGTAACTATGCTGAACTTATTTTAAAATAACTCTGTATACTAACAAAATCAAAAATCACTAAAGCAGTACATTTCATTAGAACAGAGTATGTCGTTTTAATAATTTTGTCATACCATTTGAAAGTACGCAGCGGTGGCTCAGCGGTAAACTCGAAGCCTTATAACGCTAAAACTCGGTGTTCGATACTAACGATGCACTTGGGATTTATACTTATAGCCCATTTGATATCTATGCGCTTAAAGAAAAATTAACACTTTCCTAGAAACTATACAAGTGTATGAATCTGATTTGGAAGTGAAATAATTCACTAATAATAATTCAGCTGTTGTATATATATATTGAAGAGTAAAAGGTTCACTTGTTTCCATGATTGTTATATCTTGGAAATTATTTTTTTTCCACAAACAATACCAGTGAATCGTTTTGGGTAACAAGGCTAACAAATTTCATGGGCAATTTAATAGAAGTAACGTACAAACCAACAGAGGAAAAGTTAATATTTTGTTAAATAGCCACGTCATTAATTATTACTTTCAATGTAAACAAAATTATTACAACAAAAACACCTCAAATGTTGTTATTTCTTGGGGATCTAAGCATTTTTAGCGATGTTAGAACTATAGGAAGCAGTGTAATATCATCTATTACCAGATAATTTTTTTACTTTCATTTTTTATACTTAAGGTCTTAGTCAAGTTTTTTTAATGGGTGGAATATCGTATTAATCCAAACGTATTTTTTGTTTCCCTGTTTCTAACGTCAGTGCTGAAAACCTTGGTTATGATTTTTGTTACTTACAATGGTAAGGTTTGGTAGTGGTATTGAATATTTTTCTGGTAAGGTACGATAATTAGAGTACGTTTTCTTCTAGTAGGTATAATTTTTATTATTCTATCCGATGTTATGATTTACGCATCTATATTTTAAGAGACGATGTACGTGTGTTTTAATTTAAGGTGATCTATCTTTGCATATCATAGAATTTTTGTTTCGAAAAAAAAAATCAGTTGTTAATGTCAACAGTACATAATAATTTGTGAAAGTCATTTCTTGAATAATCGTACAGCATGTTCTTATTATTAACCATTCACTAACTCTAAAAAAAAAATCATACCCTGCAATTCATCAAATCAATTTTAACTAGTACCTAAAATCTTTATCAACCTTTCATTAACACTGAAAAATTATATCCTGCAATTCATCAAATCAATTTTAACTAGTACCTAAAATCTTTATCAACCTTTCATTAACACTGAAAAATTATATCCTGCAATTCATCAAATCAATTTTAACTAGTACCTAAAATCTTTATCAACCTTTCATTAACACTGAAAAATTATATCCTGCAAATCATCACGTCAACTTTAACTAATACCTAAGATCCCTTAATTTGTATTGTAATCTTTAAGTTTTTAACCAGATTTGTATTTTTTTAGCTTTAAATGATTTAGAATGTATGTCTGTTCTCGTAACTGCTCGTCAAAATTACGTAACTACAAAAACAAATTTATTTTTCGAAGCTTGCACAATAAAAAAAATTATTATTTTCCTTATTCCAATATTTCTCTATTACTTGACCCATCCGTTTGTTGTTATTACACCTGTAATTTAAAAGCGAGAAATATTTCCGAAGAAATTACCGATTACTTAATACTGGGAAACCACCAATTGTTATTGACTAATAGGGTGGGTGGGAAGGTAACTAAACAACTGTAGCAGATTTTTTTTTATCTAAAGTTTACTTTTTGTCTTCTTTCTTTTATTTCGCTCGTGGAATAGACATTACGAACATTTTACACTATCTAAAATAAACGTGCATTGTACTTTAACATTTTAATATTATACGTATATTAAATTATAGTTAGAAATCAGTGCAGATCGGGAACTTAATTCGGTAGTTAAATTTTAGAGCTTACAAAAAAACATACATTCTGGCTTACGTGTATTTTATGACTATTTCAATTCTCACGTAATCTACAAATATATATATACTTTAATACTTACATGGTCGGAACCACGACGCTTGTGTAATTGTTTCACAAATACAAGCGACGACAATAATGTCTCTCAACACTGATTTCACAATATACATTTTCTAAAACCAGTCTCCACTTAGTGTATTTCTCAGCAAGTGACTAGTAGCCTAATAAAACTCTCAACGAAAAAGTCTGACAACAATTAGTTGACGAATTAAACTTAAAGTTAAACATGTATGTCTTGCAGGGTAAAACTTGACTTTATGGCTGAATGAAAGCTTCAGTCACTTCAACGCGGCTATCTAGAACATGATGCTGACGGAAGTGGTTCTCCTCTAAGTAAAAGAGAGAAATCCATGACACCAGGGCCTAAAGGCTAAAAATCTTGTTTCAACACCAAAACTGCCGCTTCCCGTATCAAAGCTACGATAGAAAACACCTGAACAACCAACGAACTGTTTAGCCAAACGCTGCATGCAGCGTGACCTGGTCTTTCTTGCCAACCCTGGGGCGATAGTGAGGCCACGGTTACACAAGGTGTTTTGTTTTCATCTCTTGAAGGTCACAGACACTGAAGAATATCACATCCAGTTATCGTATGGTTTTCATTTAGAGGTGGGGAGGGTGGATATGGCTTTAACTAACAGCGAAAATAGAAAGTAGCGAAAGCTGTCGGAGTAAAATGTGTAGTGTAAAACTGTGTTCTAAATTTTATTCACTATAAAATAATTTCAATAAAGCCGCAAAAAGTTTAAGAAACTTAACTAGATCTACAACGAGTGTCTTGGTTAGAGTAATAAAACATATATAATCATTTATTATTCAAGCACTACACATCAAATCTACACACTACATGATCTAACATTTTCAAATCTGCTTGTAAGCAGAAAATAGACCTACAGCTAATTCTGCCTCACACGTGCAGTTTTGCTGCATATCAAGTAAGTACGTACGGTTTCTTCAGATTATGTTTCAATCAGTCGTTCAAAACACACACAACAACAACAATAATTGTTGTTCATGCAACTGGTGATATAAATAGTGCCTACTTGATGAGAGCTAGTATTCGGCGAAAGGCATAGTCGACACTGACTATGACATGTATAGTGTGGTTGATAAATATTTACGTATTCCTTATTTACGTCATCCGAAGTGCATCCTCGCTAACCTTAACTGACACTCACAAACTCTCAAGAACAACAGAGCTTTGTATTGTCAATTACGGTTTCTGTTTTCATGGAAAGTTTCTGAAAAAGCTGTAAAGCGAAACGTTGGGTGTCCAATTAAAGAAAAACAACAATCTGGTGTTATAAGGTCGTTTATTTTTAGTATTAAAATTATATATTCCTATTTGCTTTCATTCATAAGTTATCAGAATTATGAATAATATTTTCAACCGTTGACGCTGTGGTTGTTCAACCCGCTCAGGGAACAATAATATAATCTTGCTGGTCCACCAGTTCTTCTGAATTACAGCAAAGATGATTCAAGTAAATATAATAATATATAATTGTCGTGAAGAAATAAATGAATAATATGGTGTTATTAATCCTAGCCTAAATTTTGATTTGCAAATGACCGATATAAAATTCATAATATGACACTTCACTTTCTTAATATTGTTTACACCATAACAGTTATTGTCCGTGCAGATAATAATATTGTTGTAAGCAATGTAAGATATATATTTAATATTGTAATTTGTGTGAACGTATAATGCTAAAAGGCCTAGAATGCCTAGAAAATTCATTGATGTTTTTTTGTTTGTTTGTTTGTTTATTTTTACATTTAATGATAGATGACAAATGCGAGGTAGTTGTGAACTGTGTAGTTATTTTAAGATAAATAATTAAATCAGTCACTGTGTTTCTGTGAAGTATTTGGATCTATGCTTACCATCGCACTTATTGGAATATTTTGTTTAAAATTACAAGTTGATTTTACATTAATCTTAGTATTGTTAGAAATATTTGATCGTCCTTTTAACGTAGCCCTACAACAATTGACGGCATTTTAAATATTTACTAAAGTTTTAGTGTATTTTACAAATATTACATAATTTATATATTTTTTAAAACGTTAGGTTTTATAAATATCCCCTTTTATTTGAGGTATTGCTTTTGATTGTGAATTACATCTTTGTTTATTTACATTGTTCTTTTTAGATATGAAGATGAAATAGTATTTTAAAATATTATTATTTTTTGCATAAAAATCATAGTTATTAATATATATTCAAAGTGTCAAAATGTTTAAAATAACCTTGATTTGTCACATCGTCTGTACTTATAAATTCAGTGATTGTGTTTTCAGTGTTTGTTTATCTTTTGTAAATTATTTAAATTTAGATTTGTGATTCACGTTCAGATTGAGCTGAAACATGGGAGGTTGGCCTAACATAGCCAGGTGTGAAACATGGGAGGTAGGCCTAGCATAGCCAGTGTGAAACATGGGAGGTTGGCTTAGTATAGCCAGGTGGTTAGGGCGCTCGACTCGCAAGCTGAGGGTCGCGGGTTCGAATTCCCGTCCCACCAACCATGCTCGCCCTTTCAGTCGTGTGTGTGTGGGGGGTTATAATGTTACGGGCAGTCCCACTATTCGTTGGTAAAAGAGTAGCCCAAGAGTTGGTGGTGGGTAGTGATGACTAACTGCCTTCCCACGTTCGTTTGCTTTCGAGAACCATTTTTATCTGTTTATGTCTTGTAAGCATCGTGGTGGGAAAAATATTCTCGGAAAACCGGGATGTGGCGAAAACAATGAGAGGAAAGGAAGGGTATTTATTTACTTTTTTTATGTGATCACGCTTTTAATAATGATATTTGTATATATTTATGTTGGTGGAAAAAAATTATCCTAATAAAACCAAAGTTTGACGAAAATCATAAGAAAAAATAATACATTTATACCGATTTTTAAACATTTCACTCTTTTGTAATCATATTTATGTTTCTCTTTCTGTGTGACAGCGGTAAGTTTACGGATTTACGACGCTAAAATCAGGGTTTAGTTTCCCCTCGGTGGACACAGCAGATAGTCTGATGTGGCTTTACTATACAACAAAAAAACACACTATTTATGTTTTGTGGGTATCGTAGTGCCCCTAGTGGTTTAGAGACGGATCAGGGAGCTTATAACGCTAAAAATTGCACTAGGATACCCAGGATGAGCAGAGCACACATTGTGTAGTTTTGCGCTTAACAAACAAATAAACGTATTGTGGAGAAAAAAATAGCTACAGAGAACTAGGGTTATCTGAAAACAATAGGAAAAGATAGATTTATATTGATTTTTTTTTACTTTTGTCGATAATCATATTTTAGTCTACTTATGTTTCAAATGGAAGCCTAACATCCTGTTATACGTTAACACTGAACAAATCCATAGTACTAGATGTACTTCCGCGGGGTCTGCGGACTTACAACGCTAGAAACCGGGTTTCGATACCCGTGGTGGGCAGAGCACAGATAGCCCTTGTGTAGCTTTGTGCATAATTAAAAAAACAAACAAAAAAAACAAAACTTCCGCGGGGTTCCCGAATGTGTTATGTTTCAAGAATATATAAAATCAAAATTAAGAATCACAAATATTTTTATTTCTTGCTTTTGAAGTTCATACGCCATGCTGAGTTGTAGTCTGCAGAGGGCATAATTCTTCTCGTGTTTCACGGCATGCGCACGTTTTACTGACGTCACGACAATACAAATTGCAAAGTAAAGCGTCCCTTATGTATAGTGGTGCGAGTGATTAAAGCAGGTGACCTTGAGCCTTCTTTCCGGAAAATAATTATTAAAGTATTCTGTTGCCCTTTGCATTGAAATTCATGGGTATTGTACTTG